AAAAAAAAAAAAAGCAACCAGGAACAGGGAAAAGTAAAACAAACAAACTAAATAACAGAAAACAGAAAAAAAAAAAAAAAATCGGGGTAGGGCAGGGCAGGGCATCCAGGCTCTGTCTGAGCATGCAGACTGGGATGGAATTCCTGTCAGCCCAGAAAGGGGGTGAGAGTGAGGGATGACCACACCTCCATTCACCAAGAAGGTGTGGGGTATAAGAGTAATGAGGGGAATGTTGCACCTTTCCAGTCATCCAAGTCTGGAATGTCCTTGGGGTTCCCAGCAAGTGGAGTCTGTTCTTAAGTCCCTGGAATCTGGGAGAATGCTGTTGCTTTAAATATCCAAAATGGTCAAGCTGCTTGTAAACATTCAAAATGGCCATGCCCTTCTGATAGACAAAAGTCCACAGTTCAGCTCACCTTCCTCTTGGCTGCTTCCCCTTTTATTCCCCAGCCACCAGAGTAGTCCTCTATGCAGTCCCTGGCTAGCAGGGCTGATTGTTAGGTTAATTCTTAGGTCCTACCAGCACTTGGCAATATCCAAGCTGTCTGTGCCGTCAGAATCGCTGCTAGACCGCAGCTGTGTATGTCTCCTTTTTTGGTGTTTTCATGCAAATTCTTCTGCTAGTTGGAGTTTAGTCCACTTTTATATCCTTTCCTTCAAGACTCAGAGGTCCAGGATTATCTTCTGTATCTGTGTTGTTTCCCCTTTTCTTTGTTGAAGAGGATTTGTGCAGTCTTTCTTCCTATTCCACCATTTTACTAGAACTCCTCTGGAAACATTCTTTGTGACGAATTCCACATCATTCCTCTTCAATTTGTCATTCTTGGCATAGTAGATCATATGGTTGTCTGATTCCAAATGGCCAAAACCAGTCCATTTTAGCTCTCTAATGCCTAGGATATAGATCTTTATGTGTTTCACATCATTTTTGACAACTTCCAATTTTGCTAGATTCATACTTCATACATTCCACGCTCTGATTATTAATGGATGTTTTCAGCTTTTTCTTCCTATTCTTAGTCATGCCACATCAGCAAATTGGGGTCCTTTGGTAGTTCAATTTGTGTATCTACTTGGCTGGGCCTGGTTGAGTGGCTGGGCAGCTGGATGTAGTATTCCCCATGATAAGACTGGTAATCAACTCCATGGTGGAATCTACTGTGAGTAGCTGAGTAGCTGCCTTAGGAAATGTGGTCTGCTTCCTATATATAAGGAGAAGCCTCAGGGAATGGTCTCCAGCATATGGCATGCTTGGACCCTGCATGTAGCCGTGTTGTTGTTTAGTAGCCTACCATGCTCTGCTGACCTTGGGACTTACAATGGACTTAAATTAATGCCCTGCCATGTGGTTTGGTAACATCGGGACTGTGCCTTTTTACTTGTCGACCTTGGGCTTGGCAGCATCAGCAACCAGCAGCTGTTTGAGTGAAGAAAAGCCTCTAGCTTCAGTGGGACAGGAACTGGAGGCAGAGCTGAAGCCCAAGGCTGAGAGGCTTTCACAGAGCTGCTAGAGTTTGGCACTTTGGACTTGGACTTAATGCCTCTAAATTGTAAGAATAAACTCCTATTTGTTAAGGCCATCCCATTTGTGCTATATTCCTGTCAGAGTGACACTAGGACCAGAAGAGGTCCCAGAAGCTTTAATCTATCCACATCATTAAGATCAGCTCTACTCTGAGGAGGCAGCTCTTCCCCAGTCATATTTTGAGTGCCTTCTGACCTGAGGGTCTTATTTTCCAGCACTATTTCAGACAACTGTTTCAAGGCTATTCAGAAAGTTTTCCAGTAATATATCAGACAGTGTTTCACTACTATTAATTGGCTTTTCACTGGCCAATACTTTGAGAAGTCAGTGGCCCCTTCTGTCTTCCGAATCTTAGTTAGAAATCTACCATGAGTGACCCTGCTGATATTTGAAATACCAGTGGCATAGCCTCCAGCCTCACAGCAACATGCAAGCCACACAGTGTGACAAAGTGACAGACAAGTGGTGGGTCAATAGTTAGTATAATGGTATTCTAAGTAAATAGTGATATGTTACTGTTATATGCTGTCAAGTTGGTTCAGACTCATAGAGCATAGACTCATATCAGCAAGTGAATGTTCCAAAAGTTTTATTCCTTCCATGCTATTAAGGTTGACTGAAACTTGAGAAGGAAGGTCTTCTCCAATTGTACTTTGAGTGCCTTCTGACTTGGGCTCATCTTCCAGCACTATATCAGGCAATGTTTCACTGCTATTTGTAAGGTTTGCAATGGCCAATTTTTGCAGAAGTGGATCTCATTACATTCTTCTTTCTAATCTGCCCTAGTCTGGAAGCTCTGCTGAAACCTGTCCTCCATAGGTGACCCTGGTTATATTTGAAGTACCAGTGATATAGCTTCCAGCATCACAGCAACATGCAAGCCACCATAGTATGACAAACTGACAGGAGAATTGTGGAAATATTGTTATACTAAGTAAGTGCTCCTAGTTGGCCTTCTGAGCCCCAAGTCCCAGCACACAATAAACCCAAACTCACTGCTATCAAGTAAATTCTGACTCATAGCTACCCCCATTGGGTTTCCAAGATGGTAAATCTTTATGGAAGTAGATTGTTCCATCTTCCTTCACCGAGTGGCTGGTGGGTTTGAACTGCTAACCTTCTGGTTAGCAGTCAAATGCCTTAGGCACTGAACCACCAGAACTCCTCCAGCACACAATAGGTACTCAAATATTAATCGATGAATTCGATGAAGTAATGAATGTGCTTGATAAATGATATGAACATCTTAATAACAGGAATGATAAAATTTAAATACTATTTAAAGTTTATGTGGAAAACTAAAAGAAAGAAGTTTATCTTATTCTGGATATTGAAGTCCACTTACTTTTGCTAGATCTTTGATAGTCTCAGTTTTTCCTGTACCAGCTGGACCCGCAAGGCAGCCGACTAGATTCAAGTGGAGTGCTCCAGTGAGAGTTAACCAGCATCGGTCTGTGAGAGGTGTAATAACCAATCTTGGGGAACAACCCATGTACTCATAGCCATAAGTAAAACTCACATCTCCTTGAGATACATAGCACAACTTTTGTTTTTCATTCCATTTATATTGCAAATGTCTGAAAACAATATTTCAATGCTCATATTATTTTGGGAAAATTGTTTTGGCATTTTTTTTACATGCAGATAAACAGTAAAAATTAGAAATCAAATGCAGATTAAAAATGAAATATAAATCAAAACATTAAAATCAAATGAAAAGATTGATATCAATTTATTACTGACCATAATTAGACATGAAATATTAAAACTCAGATGATTACAAATATATGAGTGCTCCCCCCTCTAAGGCAAATGGTCTTGCAAATCATGCTCCCTTGATGTGAAGTTAGCCTATATGAAGGAATTATATAAGAAACAACCCTATAACATTTATTACAGTTTCTCTTAAGAATGTGGTTGAGGCCATTGTTCTTCATATCCTGAATTGTTATTATGAGTGTACTTGAGAGAAAAGTTATTTGTTTTAAGTATCCATTTTTTTTTAAGAACAAGCACCTACTTAATGATTTAAGTGTTAAAACATTATTTAAATCAAAGATCAATTTCCAGAGCCTTTCTATTCTTCTCCTCTCTACAACAGAGGTTCCCAACTTTATCAGTTCACAACACTCTCAGTATATCAATTTTTCATGATAGGCATAGGCCAAAAGAAATACCCAACTATTCTTTTTATTAACTGTTAGCTCCAAAACAGTTTAATAAGTATTTTCATGTTAATGATGTAATAGCTTTTTTTGAAAAAAATTATACAAATAGATTGAAGGAAAATTTTTACAATCTTTATTCTTAAATAACAAGTTACTTATTTGGTGTACTGAACAATTGTCAAATTTTGGAATCAGATGGGGCACTGCCAAACTAATTTCCTGTACCACACTGCTTTTCAAGATATACTTGCTTTACATGAGAGTAATTACCTAACTCAGATAAGAAGGCATTGAAAGATATGTGGCATAGTTTAATGGTAAAATTTTGAACTACCCAAACTGGTAGTTTGCTTGGTGTTTGACAGATGCTGACCTTCAACAAGGTTCTAAAATCCATTAAATGAGGAAAAGACAGTCTCTTTTACAAATGGTGCTGGCAAAACTGGTTATCTATTAACAACACAAAACAAAAAAACCAGGACCTGTACTTCACACTATATACAAAATCTAACTCAAGATGGATCAAAAATGGGAATATAAAACCTAAAACTATAAAAGTCATTAAAGAAAAAAAAAGGGTTAACTTCCCACTGCTGTCAAGTTGGATCTGACTCACAGTGACCCCTCCTTGGGTTTCTGAGGCAGTATCACTATGGAAGTAGATTGCCCAACCTTCCTTCTGAGGAGTGGCTGGTGGTTTTGAACCGCCAGCCTTCTGGTTAGCAGTCAAATGCCTTAGGCACTATGCCACCAGAGCTCCTTGGGGCCCTAATTTATGGGATAAATAAACTCTCAAACATAACCAAATATGTATAGACAGCAGAAGATAAACTAGTTGACTGAGATATCCTGTAAATTAAATAGTTATGTGCATCAAAATACTTCTCCAAAAGAGTAAAAAGAGCATCTACACACTGGGAAAAAATAATTAGCCATGACATAGCTGACAAGGGGCTTATCTGTAAAATTTATAGAAAATTTCATCATCTCAAAAGCAAAAAGACAAACAACCCAATTAAAAAATGAGCAGAGCACAGGAACAGATACTACAAAAGAAGACATTCAGGTGGCCAAGAAACATGGAAGAAATGTTCGTAATCTTTATCCATTAGAGAGGTGCAGATCAGAACAACCAGAGGTCATTTCACCCCAGCTTTAATAGCAAAGTTCAATAAGGACCAAAACAACTTATGCTAGAGAGGGTATGGAGAGGTTGAAACTCTCATTTCCTTCTGGTGGGAGTGTAACATGATAAAACCACTATGGAAAATGGTGTACTGCTTCCTTAAAAAGTTGGAAACAGAAATGCAACATGATCCAGAGATCCCACTACTAGGTATATATGCTAGAGAAATAAGAGCTGGGCCACAAGTAGATACATGCATACCCATGTTCAATGCAGCATTATTTATAATAGCAAAGAGATGGAAACAACCTAAGTGCCCATCAACAGATGAATGGATAAACAAACTATGGCACATATATACAATGGAATATTATGCAATGTTAATGAAAAATGAAGAATCCACAAACACCTCACAATGTGGATGAACCTTGAGGATATTATGCTGAATGAAATGTCAATCACAAAAGAACAAATGTTGTATGAGTCTACTATTATAAAATGTCAGGGAAAGATTTACACACCGAAAGAAACATTCTTTAATGTTTCCCAGGGATGTAAGGGGAGGCGAAAAATCACTAGATAATCGACACATATTAATTTGAGTGAGAGGAAAGTCAATACACAATAAGAGGTTGATCAGCACAGTGTCACTAAGGTAAATGAAAACGTAGAGAGATTCATAAGAGTTACATACAATGAAAGTAAATACTGTTACATACACCATCCTGAAATAAAACAATAATATGAACAATAATCTATGAATAGATACATAGGCATAGAGGCAAGCTGAAATGATCTGGGTAGGAAAATGGGATTACACCATGACATGTAGGTTTGGCAGAGGATATTTCTACGTAAGTATTTGTATGTGCTGTAAATATCCATGCCTATAGTAGAGCAACCAAGGGACAGCATTATGAAAAATTCTTAGCCATAACCATACACCTTGAGATCATGAGTCACTAGGCTTGGGGGCTTAGGGCCATAGTGTCAGGGAACAGCTAAATCAATTGGCAACTTTCGTGAGTAGTGACTGAGGTCTTAAAAGCCAGTGAATGGCCATCTGAGATGCAACTATTGGTCTCTCCCCTTCCAAACAAATAAGAGTGAAGAAAATCAAAGACATGGAAACAAATAGTTCACAGGATCAATGGACAACATGAACCTCAGCCTCCTCCACCCTGAGGACAGAAGAACCAGACCACTGCCAACAGCTGTGAAAGGTATTACAAAAGACGGTCCCAGACAGGGTTTTTTTTGTCTCTAACAGAGAGAAACTGAAACAAAAGTCAAGATCATAAAAGAGATAAGGCTTACTGTTCTGACAGAGAATAGTGGAACCCTTGTGACTGTGGCCTTTTGTAACTCTTTCAAGCCTGGGACAGAATACATCGCCATGGCTCAACTTTCAGCCAAACAATAAACAGGCCTATAAGATGTACAGGAACATCAGGGAGGTCCACACTTCTTAGAGCAATCAATAATAGGAGCTCAAAAGGGCAGCATTTACCCAGGGATAAAGCCCAGAAGTCAGAAACAGATCAGAAAGAAGGACGAATAGAAACAGTAAAGATAGGAAGGAAGTGGAAAGAGTGCTGTTATATTGTGGGGATAGCAATCAATCCCACAAAACAAAATGTGTATGAATTGTTGTATGTAAAACAAATTTGCTTTGTAAACTTTCACTTAAATTATAATGGAAAGTTAAAAAAAAAATAATTTGTTGAGAATTAAAGACCTTAAATAATGCATGTTAGATACTTGGTTTTCTATGAACACAGGAAATGTTTAGAAAAAAAAAAAAAATTCCAGAGTTTGTAACTTCACATTCTTTACAGGAATGCTATGCTTGATCCCCTCTCTCACCAAGGTTAGTGGGCTCTATTTTTCCATACTTTTGTATTTCATTAATTGCTTCTAGTTAGAAGGAGGTAGTTCTGAGTTAGGGAACTGTCTGAAAGCATTCTCCAATTTGTTTCCCAACTCAGTTGAAACAAACTGTTCCAGAATTGACAGCACACAGAGGAAGAGGAGGCTGGATGGAGAGCTTCTCCCATGGCTCATTGAAACTGACTATCCCTTTGCCTCAATGATAAATGGAAAATACAGATATGAGAAGTGTGTAGTCAGGTCAGGAAGATAAAGCAGAGAGAAGACTGAGAAGGATTAATAGTAGAAAAGAAACAAGAAAGCACAGGAGTATGGTACTGAAATTGGTACAGTTTGCTTCAAGTTTCTATAAATCCCAGAAAACTAAAACTTGAGTTTGACAAATTTGAAGGAGAGAGTCAGTCTACTTACAGATAGATATGTGAGAAGCAATTTAGTGTATCTAGAGTTATAATTTAGATGCACCTACCTTGTCCACTCAAAATCCTCTCCATTGAAGATATTTTTAGAGAGTAAATTTCTCACTATATCTCTACAGTGGACATAAAGGATAAGCAATGACCCTAGGACAGCTTTTTTTCTAGAGTTGTTAATATCCAGCACTATCAGATCTGTAATCTCTTCTAGAATACCTAGCACACCAACAAGGACTTTTTCCAAATCTTCTTTTGAATGAGAACTCATAAAACTTTTGATACAATCATTATAAAACATGATCTGGCTCTGAAAAAGTAAAACACAAATATTATCATTGAAGCATATAGTTGTTTTAAATTAAAACATTTTCATGATGTGTATGTACTGTGTGTTTATGTATGAATGGATTTGTGCATATGTGAAAGAGCCCATGCATTTGTACACGTTTAAGGGTTAAAGATTGAATTTTGATTAATATCTGTTAGGGGATTCATTAATAAAGGAAACTATTTATCATCAATATTTATACTTTTTAAATCTTGACTAAATCTTCATTCATTCATTCATCACTTGATTAAGTGAAAACCTGGGAACAGTAACAAGAGTAGAAAACTCCAACAATGAAATTAGTAGGAACTGTTTCTTCTACTGAATTCACAAATAACATATCTAGAAAATGTTATTTCCATAATCTTAATTTTCAAAACGTATATTTAACAGAAATTACTTGATTCATCTTCTGACATTCACCTTTCCCATACCAGACCTGTGCAAGTCAGTTCGTTTCAGTTCAAATCATTAACTGGAAACTAAAGAATCATTAACTGGAGTTAAAGAAAAAAGTACTCGAGGCAAATAGCAAAAAGTATGATGAGAAGACAGAAAGAAAGAAAGTCAGAAAGATCAAAAGAAAGAACAATTGTTGACAGATACTAAGAAAGAAGAGTGCAAAGGGAAGGGGGTGGGAAGGAAGGTGGTTGAAAGGTAAAGATGAAGAAGAAAGTGAGAAGGAGGCATGAAGTGAACAGAGAACAAAGAAAGAAAAAAGCAGCGACAGTTGAGGGAGAAAAATAATAGAGCAGAATAGAAACGAGGCTAAAATGTGTGTCAGAGGTAGATTCCATTCTTGGTTTATCCTAAATTTGGAATAATAACTTTCTATTTCAGAAGGCTATTGTCTCAAAAGCTTAGAGATATACTAAACCAATTCATTCATTTAAGACCCTGGTAGCACAATTGTTAAGTCATTTGGCTGCTAACCAAAAAGTCAGCGGTTCTAATCCATCAGTGGTTGCACAGGAAAAAGATGTGGCAGTCTGCTTCTGTACAGATTTACAGCCTTGGAAATGCTAAGGGAGAGTTCCACTCTGTCCTATAGGGTCACTATGAGTTGGAAGTGACACAGTGGTAGTGGGTGGGTATTCATTCATTCAATCAGTAGGTCAACAAGGCATTTGAGTATTTAACACAAAATGGGACAATCAGGAGAGGTTTGTGTAGCAGGTAATGCCTGAATGAACCTTGAAGGATAAATACACATTGTTTAGGTGAGTGTGGAAGTAAAGCAAATAGCATGTGTAAAGACTCAGAGATACAAAATTGTAACCTATTTGGAATGTTACATGTAATTTGAAAAAGCTGAAAGTTGAAGTGGTGAAATAAACTGAACGGATCATCAAATGTTTTAAATATAATATTGAAGTTTTTTAATTTTTTTCATGGAAGATAATTGAATCATTTTTAAGATATAGAAGAATTCAATTTGCCTTTCATGTCTTAGAATCAATTCAGTTATCTTCTATGAAATCATCCTTCTTGGATGCATTGTGGAGAATCGTTTGGAGTAAGGAAAGCTACAGGGTAGCCTTCAAAATAGTGCAGTGGCTTTAGGGAAGAAAAAAATATTTGAAAAGCTGTTAAGGTTACTAGAAAGATTGACTTTAGAAGGTAAAGGAGATGGATATTTACAGGATGGGTTTCTTGCTTGTACAATTGAAGGAAGGGCATGTTGGGGCAAGGGGGCATAATGAATTTATTTTGGGATTTATTGAATTTGACATATCTAAGAAACATATAAGTAGAGCTGTAAAGAAATTGGTATGGAGATGACGAATATATATAAATCAAACTCATTGCTGTTGAGTCAATTCGACTCACAGTGACCCCTCCTTGGGTTTACCTGAGGCAGTATCACTATGGAAGTAGATTGCCCAATTTTCCTTCTAAGGAGTGGCTCATGGGTTTGAACCACCAGACTTCCGGTTAGCAGTCAAATGCCTTAGGCGCTATGTCACTAGAAATCATATACACACACACATAGTTGAATACACACACATATATATCTAGTTGTTAAGTGCCATCAAGTCAGTTCCAATTCATAGTGACCCCATGTACAACAGAATGAAACACTGCTTGATGCTGTACCATTCTACAATTATTGCTATGCTTAAGCCCATCATTGTAGCCACTGTGTCATTTCATCTCTTGAGGGTCTTCCCCCCCCCTTTTGCTGACTCTGTACTTTATCAAGCATGATATCTTTCTCCAGGAACTGGTTCCTTCTTATACCATGACCAAAGCACAAGGGTCAAAATCTAGCCATTCTCACTTCTAAGGAGCATTCTAACTGTATTTCTTTCAAGAATGATTTGTTGCTACATACACAAATATATGCCTTAGGCACTATGGCACCAGAGCTCCTATATATATGTGTATGTGTGTGTGTGTGTGTGTGTGTGCATCTGTGTGTATGGGATTTTTCTAGTAGTCGATGGAATTATACAGTAAATACTTATATATCCCCCCAAAAAAACAAATTCACTCTTGTTGATTCGACTCATAGTGACCCCTCCTTGGGTTTCCAAGATAGTACCTTTACAGAAGTAGGTTGCCCAATCTTCCTTCCGAGGCGTGGCTGGTGGATTTGAACCACCAACCTTCTGGTTAGCAGTCAAATGCCTTAGGCACTATGTTACCAGAGCTCCCACTTATATACCCACCAATAATCAAATAATTTTTTTTCTCTTTTTATCACAAATCTGTCAATCTATCCACCAGTACCACCTTTTTGATTCATTTCAAAGTAAGTTACAGATATCCATATCCTTCATAATATTTTTTTATTATTATTTTTTAAATAGTTGCTCTCTTGGAATGTAGCCACAAATTAAATACTTACAGATGTATATCAAAGCAGCACCACTTACCACAGTGAGTACCACTTGTCCTGGATGAGATACCACCCATACAGAAAAAATTTTGCATTTCCAGTCTTCAACTCCATGACTTACAAATCTACAAACAAAACAGTTTATTATATTATTTATACCTAATCATAATTAGGAAGTCAGCGGTTTGAAACCACCAGATCCTCCATGGGAGAAATATGAGGCAGTCTGATTTGGTAAAGATTTTACAGCCTTGGAAACCCTGTGAAGAAGCTCTATCTGTCCTATAGGTAAGTTGTCCTTTGGGTTGGAATCGAATCCATGCCAGTGGGTTAAGTTTTTTCAGGTTTTTAGGGTTTCAAAATATAATTTATTCTCTTTCATATAGTCTATCAATAGAGAATGGATCAAGATTTCTGACTTAACAAACAATCCTACCTTCATGCTGAACCATATTCTTTCAAATGATAGAAAATAGATGGAAAAAAATAGGGAACTGGAAAATAAGAAATGCTGTTCCAGCATGTGAAAAACCAAAAAATTCCTGGCAGATAAAAAGCAAATGGGATTGAATTTTCTAGAATGAAGAGTAGAAAAACCAAAGAAAACTACTGCCAAGGTTAACAAATGCAAATTGCAGAAGCAAGCCCTGGCCAATCTTTAATCAGTAACCACTTGCTCTCCAGTCAGCTCTGACACATGGCAACCCCATGTGTATCAGAGTAGAACTGAGTGCCACAGGGCTTTTTAATGGTTGATTTTTCAGAAGTAGATTGACGGGACTTTCTTCCAAGGCACGTCTAGGTGGACTCAAACTTCCAACTTTTCAGTTAATAGTCAGCACTTTAACTATTTGCATCACCCAAGAACTTCATATTTTCTAGACAGCAAAATCAGTAAGTCTCTGCCTCTTCCCAAAAGAAACCACCCCCCACCACCAGAAACCTAAACAGGGCTTGTGGTTGTTGTTGTTAGGTGCCATTGAGTTGTCTCCAACTCATAGTGACCCTATGCACAGCAGAACAAAACACCTCCTGGTTCTGCACCAGCTCTGTGATCTTTGCTATACTTGACCCACCTCCAAGAGGCAGAAAAGTGGGGGAAAGAAAAGTCAGAGGGGATGACAGAGCAAGCAGTGTCAGGGATCCAGGTAAAGGGAGGGACACAGGACCCACCCCCAAGAGGCAGGAAAACAGGAAAGAAAATCCAGAGGGGACAACAGAGAGAGCAGCGGCAGGGATCCAGGTAAGGGGAGGGTGAAGAGGTTTCAAACAGCTAAGGGAGACAAACTTGTCTGTCAGTTTGTCGTACTGTGGTGGCTTGTGTGTTGCTGTGAAGCTTGAGGTGTGCCACCGGTGTTTCAAATGCCAGCAGACTGAAGTCTTTGTAAACTCTATGGTGAAATTTGCCATGAGCAACTGAGTAGCTCCTGATTGTTAAGTTAGCCACCTGGAGCATTTCTGTTGGGAGCAGCACAAAGTAATTTTCTGGGAAGTTCACTCTCTCTCAGGTGTGTAAAATTCTGATGTTGGGATTCATTAGTTTGGTCACTCCGCCAGGCTCAAAAGGAGCCCTCCTAGAGGCAGAAAAAATCTCTGTCTGCTGAGAGATGTGAGAGACACACATTGCTGTGAGAGAGACTGAGAGATACATACTGCTGGGAGAGAGACACCAAGAGATACACACTGTTGGGAAAGAGACTGAAAGAGACTCTCAGCTGAGAGATGGCAGGCTGAGAGAGACTAAGTGTATTCCTGAACTTGAATTGTAGCCTGTTGCATCCCTAATAAGCCCCATAATCTGTGAGTTCTGTGTGGCCACCGCAGCAAATTATCAAACCCAGCAGAGAAGTGGTAGGTGCTGTGGGAGAAATGGTTGGCACCTGAACTCTATAAAAACTGTACTCCAACCCCCACTTGGGGAGTCAGATTCGGGTATTGCCTCTATCTCCTACCATGTACTTGGTAATAAACTTTCCTTCTTTCCTCTCAAGTACTAGAAGTGTGTTAACTGATTTGGCTTGATCACATATCTGGTGTCAAACATTGACCAACTTTCTATTTGTTATGACTCCTGACACCAACACCAACTTCACTGTAGACCAGGCCACAGCCTGCCATATGGCAGTGTTTTGAATAGCAAATCATAACCCTGA